AAGATTGAGAATTTCGAAATGGGTTTTGGAATCGTTGACATTGTGGTTTTGGGGTTTTTTTGTCGCCGGAATTTTGAACGGTGATTTGATCGGAGAAGCGATCGTTGTGAAATGGAGAAAGGCTAAAATCTCAGCAGGATTTACGGCGGGAGGAAAGGGACGACTTTCACAATGTGTTTAGTCAAAAAAAAAAAACTTAGAAAGGAAAAAAAATATTGTTGCTTTTTTTTTCTTTGACTAAAAAAATGATAATAAATCGTTGCTTTTGCAAAAACGATTGATAAAATAATACTAAAAGAATACAACTAAAATAGTGGAAATTAGCATTTTTTTCCTGAGAAAATAACTGTTTTTAGAATAAAATAAACAAAGAGGAAAGTAATGAAAAACAATAATAATTATTATTATCATCTAAATATATAGTGTTTGTTAAAATTTTATTATTAAAAAGTATTCACATTGCGAATTGGAAAAATAGTTTGTTATACAGTGGTGATGCTTGGTTGGTAAGGGATCATCTGCGTTCAGTATTATATCATGCAAAAGATACCTTTACATGTTCACATAACCGCATTGTAGCAGAATTAAGATGTATCATCTGGACAATGCAAAGTCTTAGGGACATGCACTTGAAAGACATTGTTGTGGCTAGTGATTGTCAACCGGCAATGGAAGCGATCACAAAACCCCGCTGGATGGCCAAGGTATCGCTTCCTTTTGACTCATATTTGAACTCTCTATAAAGTTTGAAAGCTACTCTTTCGAAGTGGAATCTTTTGGTTCTAATGGCATCGCTCGGGAAATCGCTAAGAGCGTCACTAGGGATGGAAGATTTCAGTCGTATCTCTCTTTGGGAAGCCCGGCTTGGCTCCATGATCGCATGATCCGAGAAACATAATTGCATCAATGCATCCTTCTATTTAGGATTTGATGTTGTCGTTTTCATATTGTTTTTGGTTTCTTTGTTCCATGTACCTCTTTTTCCATCTCATGCCAATGCAATAAATTCAAGACGTTAAAAAAAAAGTATTTACACATTTTAGAATAGTTTAAAACTATTAAACGATTATGTTAGGATTTGTTTGCGCAAGTGATGTTGTCTGTATAAAATCTTTAAATACAAAAATTTGTCGAGAAGGTTAATAATAACGTTTGTTGAAATTTTTTTATAAAACGACTTGTATATAAGTTTATGGGCTCCTCCATTTTGCCGGTCTAGTTTTCTAAGAATATCTGTTTGGTGAGATAGATTTATTCATTTTAAAATGAGCTATTTATCATGTGTTCTTTTCTTTTTTTTTTAAATCTTTTTCGATATGTTCTCGCGATTGTTCTGACAAGGTTTAGGTAGTCTTTCTTGTGAGGTTTGTTGTGATTAGACTCGATTGGTAGGTATAGTTTTCATGATTATGCTTTACTTGATTGAGTTAAAGTTTGAAGATTTTAAGGAAAAATGGGCCTTGAAACCTTCTGAATGGGCCTATATATCCCAAACGGGTCACACCGACATTTTCACGGATTCTGTGGAAAGATTAGCTAATCACAAATTTCTCACAATGTGCTAATTAATTATGCACCTCTCCATCGTTATCCATTAGAGGTCAAAGACAAACACAAAAACATGGACACACGTAAGAGAGAGACATCATTTACTCAAAAATAAGTCATTACACCTTTTCTTAATTTGAAATTATCAACCTTTTTTTATTAAACTTAAAAAGCAATTTCCTGATTTTCACCAACTAAGAATTTTGTATTCTTGCCAATTATTCCAAGAACCCGTGAGGTACATTTTTAAAAATCAAGTGAAGATAGAAAAAAAAAACGACAAGAAAAAGGCACATTTTCCCATATTTTCTCAAAAGAAAAGAGGAAACGTTTTTTTATCTTGAAAAAGATTAGATTTTGAAGAAATCTTTTTTTTTTTTTTTTCAATTTCTGTCTTTTGGAGTCTATAAAAATCCAAAGCTTTTCTTTTCTTTTTTATCTCTGCAAGAAAATCTGAATCTTTGAGATAAGAGATTGAGAAGATGTTGGAAGGAAAAGCAATGGTGGAAGATTCAGACATGCCAGTGAAGATGCAGATGCAAGCTATGGCTTCTGCTTCTCAAGCTCTTGATCTTTTTGATGTTTTTGACTGTAAATCCATTGCTGGTCACATCAAGAAGGTAACCCCTTTCAAACTCGTAATTACACTTTAACAAAAAAAAAAACTCGTAATCACATACATTTTTACTCTCAATTACATTATTATCATATGCATGATCAATAGATAATGATGGTCTAGTAGTTAAATGATCACCATTATCTTGTACTTTAGACAAAAATTCGAATATTTTTACTACGATTTCAATCATAGTTAAAAAAAAATTGACTATTTCAATTGAAGATTAGCTTAGATTTTACTCTTGTTTGGAATTGCGCTAGACGTGAGTCGAACACTGAGCGATTTTTTTCAAAAAACTAAATTGCAGATATAATTAATTATCACTTATAATTACTTGGTTAATTTTGTGTTATGTAATTCAGGAGTTTGATGAGAGATATGGAAGTGGATGGCAATGTGTGGTGGGATCAAATTTTGGGTGTTTCTTCACACATTCTAAAGGGACTTTTATCTATTTCCAATTGGAGACACTTAAATTCCTCATCTTTAAAGGAGCTTCTTCTCCTTAATAACAAACCCTAATCCTCTGTTTTCTTTTGCTTCTATGAGAAAATGCTTGTAAGACTTTGAGATCTTTCTTTTTTTTTTTCCCCTTCAGATGTTTGTTTGAATTCTAAGTCTGTAAATAGACCCAAGATGGGAATGAGAAATTGGTTATCAACGAAGGTGTGAGATTTTTCATTTCTACATGTGCTTGCTTTTGTGATCAAAATAAGGAAAGTGTGTAATGAACAAGATCTTAAAAGATATTCTTTTTATATTTATTGAATTGCAAAAAAAGAGAATAGTGCATCAACAAAATAGAATTATTAGTGGAACTAATCCACCATTAGAATTGTCTTAACACCTATTATCAAAAAATTTTACTCTTGTAGAAATAAGAGATGGTTCAAAATTGTAGAATTGTAATGAACCATGTCCCTCCCTAATTTAGTTAAGTTTGATTTTTGATATTTTTTTGTTTATGCAACAAGGAATAAATAATAATAAATTACAGGTAAGTGTGTTTGTAACATGTCCTCCTTGATGATTTGTTTTATTTTTAGAAATAAAATATTTGAGAAATTCAACTTAAATTTCTAATAACGTGCATCCCACATTCCACCAAGTATCTAATTATAAATAGTAAAACATTTTCAAGGGAAAAAAAAAATCCTTTTTCTTCTAAAGAATCTGAGCAAATTCACTTGTTTATGGTTATGGACAACGAATCATAATAGTTACTAAAATAAATCAGGTATTAAAAAAAAACCATTAACAGAAGTCAAAAACAATGGTGTTCTGTATTTGCTAAGCTGAAAATCAAACACCGTTTTTGGTTAGTTAAGTTTGTTTTTTTTTTCCTCTCCAAAATCTCCTAAAACTCCTCTTTATTACAGGATTAAGAAAACAAGAGAGATTAAAAATAAATTTCGATACACAATTCTCACTTTTTATTTATGATTGTAAATGGTAAAAAGCAATGGAGCAAGAACAAGAGAATTACAAATCAAGATTGTTTCATTTCAAGAACATGAGCGAACACTCAGAATCAAGACATGTTAAAAGCTGGAGCTCAGATTGTACCTTGACAATGGATGGTTCAGACAATCTTGATGAAGATGATAATGATTTAATGTTCAGTAGTCAACCTGGGAAAGCCACCGGCGTTGACCGACCGTCTTTGCCTCTAAGTGGCGGGATAACGCCTAACCGCAACGACAAGCTTGTCGTTCCGAGGATGGCTTCACCGGAATCCATGGAGGCACAATTACTAGCTGGTAAAAATCTCATATTTTCTAGCTTTCTTTGGTCTCAAGTTAGGGTTAAGTTATTCTTGGATTGCAAGTTAGGGCAAACGATTAAAGTTTATGTTCTTTTGTTATTACAGCAATGGAACAAATGAAGGAGAAATTTTCTAAATTGCTTCTTGGAGAAGATATGTCTGGAGGAGGAAAAGGTGTTTCATCGGCTTTGGCTTTATCGAACGCCATTACCAATCTCGCAGGTATAAAAACCGTTTTTCCGGAACCTTTCAATTGATTTCATGGATTTTTATTCTAAAATTTCATGTTAAAAGCTCTCTGTTTTAACTTTCACAGCGTCTGCGTTTGGAGAACAACGGCGTTTAGAGCCAATGGCGGCGGATAGAAAAATGCGATGGAGAAGAGAAATCGGATGGCTTATCTCTGTGGCTGATCATATAGTTGAATTCGCTCCAACGCAACAAACAAACAAAGATGGTTCTTCAATGGAAGTCATGACAACAAGACAAAGAACAGATCTTCTCTGTAACATTCCTGCACTTAAGAAACTCGATGCAATGCTCCTCGT